AGAAGGATCTCCTCCCTGTGGGGTGAGGTGAGAACTCACACAAAGGGGTGAGCACCTGGCGCTGGCTGACAGGTGTGTATTTCGGGGTAGGAAAAAGCTGCTCTGAGAAGGTGGGTGGGTTTTGCTTGAGGAGGAGCCTTGACAAAATATGCAGGTCACATTTCTGAGTCCAGGAGAGATCTTACCTGAGGGGAGCTGGGTCCACTGAAGAAGGAAAAGCTGTGGCCCTGGCCCAGAGAGAGCCAAAGAGGTGCCAGAAAGAGGAGAAGGGGTCAAGTTGGATGAGAAGGGAAGGGAAGATTTACCCAGATGAAAAGCAGCAACTGTCCCCAGCAGGAGGAGCAGCAGGAGCAGGGGGAGTTTCATATTCACTGTTCTTGTGGCAGGGACACGGCTTCACTTCACGCCGTGGGTTCTGTTCACTGTGTCTGCACGGCCCCTGCCACACAACAGAGATGCAATGTTTGTTTAAGTAGCTGATTAAAGGCAAACTGGAGGGCTTTCATCTCCCCCAGTGAACAGATGCTGACCTGGAGAAGCAGAAAAAGTTCCTTTTACCCAAGCATTCCATCACTGGCCCCTGGGATAGTACTTAGCCCAGAGCTGGTCTGCTCAAGTCAGGGCAAGTTCTACTACACTGAGGACGGAGTGGAAGGACAGTGGCCATCAGGGTCTTAAGGACAGGCCTCCTAGATGTTGGCTTCTGCTTTCTCCCAAGCCTTGGACCCCTCTTCACTGGACAGCAGGGGGAACACTCACCTTAAAGTGTTGGAGACCTCCACTCTTGGTGTCTCTGACTGCTGGGTACCAGAGGCAGTCCTTATACTGGGCTTTTGGGGAAGTGGGAAGAGGCCAGGATGATTGCCCCAGGCTGGGGGCTGGGTAAGGAAGTTGATAATAAGGCATTTGCTCAATTCTCTCACCTGCTCCCTGCTGGGACTGCAGGGCCCTGCCTCCTGGGGTCCACTGACACATATGGGCGTTCAAACACCCAGGTGTTCTGGAGAAGACCCCAGATGTCTACTGTCCACATATACTTACTGTTAGCACCCCTAAAGTGCCCCAGTCATAACCCCGGAAGCAGCCTTCTTCTGGTCACTATCCCAGCCAATGAAGTGGAGAATCCTAGGATGCTGGGGGACCATGAGGGAGGAGGGAGGAGGCGTCCACCTCCTGAGTGCTTGTCTAGACCGGGGACTTCATATGCATCCCATCCCAGAATCCTCACCTTCTACTCATTTCCATGAGAATGTATGATGACTCTAACTTCACAGGTGTGAAAAATGAGATTCAGAGAGAGAAAGTCCCTTGCAAGTGTGCACAGGAAGTGGGGAACTGGTATTTCTAGTCCTTCTGGCTCCCAAACCTTCTGTCATCTATCTATCTATGTATCTATGTATCTATCTATCTATCTATCTATCTATCATCTATCATCTATCTATCACTTCTTTTTCTCTCTCCCTTTCTTCCTTCTTCCCTCCCTCCCTCTCTCTCCTTCTCACTCTAGTTCTTCCTCTTCCTGTTTTTTCACCTTTAATGTGTGAAAACCTTATGCTCTTTCTTCTATGCTATAGATCTAGATCAAAGTTATCAATCTTTGCACTGTTACTATTTGGAGTAAAGTGTTTCTTTGTTGTGTTTTGGGGAAGGGGTGACTGTAGAAGTTTAGCAGCATCCCTGGTTTCTACTCACTAGATGTCAAGAGTACCTCCCCCCATCAATCTGATTGTCCCCCAAAGACTATCAAAAACATCTCCACATATTTCCAAATGTCCTCTGGGGAGCAAAGTTGCCTCCATTGAGGATCACTGGTCTAGAAAATGCCATTTAGAACAACCTCAAAGCATATCTTCAGGCAAAGAGGTGACAGCTGCAATGGAAAGCTTCATGCAGAATCTTTCAGACACCATGGGGGCCACCCTCCCCACCCCCATCCTCATCTCCACCAGCCCTCTGTCACCACCAGGGTCAGGACTAGGGGGCACTGAGTGAGGCACTCATCTCCGGTGCAAAATTTAAGGGGGCACTAAAGAATTCAGTAGTCAAGATAAATAATGCTCATGCAATCTTTCTTGTAAATAAGAATAAATGCAAAAACATCTCTGATGAATAAAATATCAAAACTTTAATCAACCCAGCTCCAGGCTCATTTACTGCCGGCCAAAGAGAGGCCACCAAGTGCCGGGCCCTGGCATTGCTGGATATCCCTGCTGGGAGCTGGTGGCCTTGGCAGGGTGGGTGACCCACTCTGTGACATTCCCTCTGGGCAATCATACTTCTTCCTCAGACCCCTCCTCAGCCTTCCAGGACTCAGGGCACCAGGGACAGGTAGCCCAGAGGGTGGAAAGGCCTTCCCTGCCTCTGCTGTCCCAGGGGACCTACAAATGGAGAAGTATCTGAGAGGTCACTTCTGGGCTTGATTGCAAGGTAACGGTCTTGGCTGTTATCTCTCTGGCCCAACGGACATGATCCTCAGCTTGTCTACCGACATGGGGTGGTGGTAGTGGGGAAATTGACCAATTCTGGGGCCCAAAACCTGGCCTTGCATTGAAATTTTGAGTCCACCCTAAGGGGGGGGGGAAGATCTAGACCCCTCCCCAGCATTCTCCTCCTTCTGGGGGCCCAGGCCAGGAGCATCTTATCACTCTCTGGTAAGGATGCTCAGCTGCTCTCAAGAGCCTAAGAGCCAGCCTCCTGGTGAGCTTAAACATACTTTCCCCTGTTACAGATGTGGAAATGTCACCTCAGAGAGCTTAAGCAAGTTGCCCAAGATCACACAGCAAGTCAAAGACAGGCCGAAGGGCAGGTCTTCCAGCTTCTTGTCCCCCCATGGCTGCCTGCCCTCTGCCTCCTCTCACTCACCTCCCTACTCTTAAGCCTGCCGCCCTGTCTTCTTTGAACTCAAAGCCCAAGCTAAGACATTCCAATGGCTTCAGTGACCACAGTAATGTCTAATTTAAAACTGGAAATGTGATTTTTGAAGGCCCACCACAGACCATACACTTTGCTACATGAAGTCTCTGACATCCATCACCCCACTTAATCTTTACAATCATTCTACAAAATAGGTATTGCCATCTCTCACCTACACACCTATACAGAAGCTCAGAGAGGTTCAATGACCTGCCCAAGTTCATACAACTAGAAAGGAGTGGCATGTCTGACTCCTAGGTTCTTGCTTCTTTGATACCCCAGACAGTCTGCATTACTCCCAGACAGTCCATCCAATGCTGCCAATGTTTTCCGCATCCGTGAAACTCCGAGTGTCTGGCTTACTGTTTGCATTTATGTTCCAAGGGGTTTCAAACTCTGCCTTTTGTCTCAAGGGTCAGTCCAGTCCCACATTAGGCAGAGGGTGGGTCTCAGTGCAGTGTGATGCAAATGAATGGCAAGTCCCAGAGTCTCAGTTTTCTCACCTGGGAGCTGAGGCAATGACAGAACCTGCCTCTACTGAGATCAGCTCCAATAGTGCTCTCAGGACAGGGCTTGGACCTGGGGCTGTCCGGAGCCAGCACTGGATCTGGGACCTGTGTCCACAGATAAGCACTGTCTGGATTGCGCTCCCGCTCTGTGATGGTGCGGTGAACAGAACTCCAGGGCTTCCACCCTAAAGACAGAGCTTAGCTTCAAAGCTTAGCTAGCACCTTGTTGGGATGGGAAAGCCCATATTTTGGGATGTAAAGCCAGTCCTCTTACTCATTACTTTTACTTTTTTATTTTTAATTCTCACCCGAGGATAATTTTCTAGTGAGTTTTAGAGAGTGGAAGGGAGAGGGTGAGAGAGAGAGAAATATTGATGTGACACAAACAGATCCATTGCTTGACTTCCACACGTGGTCCTGATCCAGGGCCTCAGGAGAAGCCTGCCAATAAGGTACGTGCCCTTGAGGAGAATCCAACCCGGGACACTTCAGTCCGTAGGCCAACGCTCTATCCACTGAGGCAAACCAGCTAGGGCTGGGAAATCTCTTGATAGACCCCTTCCAAAGAAAGGTGACCTCCCCTGAAGCAATGCATTCTTTGCTAGAACCTTCCTTCTGCTCCCTTTTGCCTATAAACACCTTCCATTATTACCGCTTTTCAGAGCTTCTTTCTATTTGCTGAATGGGATGCTGCCTGATTCATGAATCAATGAATAAAGCCAATTTCATCTTTAAATGTACTCAGTTAAAATTTTCACAGTCCTCCACTTCTTGAATCAGTGATATCACCCTCATTTGGAAAGCTGTCCCACTCCCACCCCACCCGCACCCTATAATGAATCCAAACAATGCAGGAGGGCCAGTTCCCCACCAGCCCCCACCCAATAGTGTTATGCCCAGATTTCAAGATCCCCAATAGACCACCAGGGAGCCAGCCAAGTCCGATGCAAAAGCAGAGAGTCTTTTATTATTATTACAGACCCGGGTCTGGCTCCCAGGCTCCACCGACGCAACGGGGAGACGAGAGTGCCCACCCGTGGGAAAAAGGGGTTTTTAATAGGGGGTGGAGTGAGGGGAGGAGAGATGACTGTGGGCCCTGCCGATTGGCCAGGTGCAAGTCAGGTCTTGTTACACAGGATGTGGTCATATCTATAGCGCGCAAGTCCCTTGATTGTCATTGGTTAGTTTAAAGAAATCCTGGGCGTGGCTAGCAGAGACTTGGGCTTCCGGGAAGAAGGTGCTTTCCTGAGCACATGGCTGCCCAAAAAATGGAGGACACAGGGTAAGATGGAGGGCGTAGTCCTCGCCCTTTCAATGAGAACTTTCCCCAAGGGGTGAGGGGTGCAATCCTCCAGCCTGGGCTGAGAAAGGTCTTCGGAGAGCCACCCAGCCCTTGATCTGCCCCTAGGTGGCGCTGTAGCCAAACCCCTCAGCGCCCACCCCCATTCCGCGGGCCACTGGCCATCCTTTACTTTCCTCAAAGCCCCACCCTGCAGGAGTGAGGGCTTCCAGGAGTTTCAACCCCGGGGAGTCCTTCAATGAGCAGTGAAGAAACAAGAGTCAGCAAATGCAGTGGGAAACATGACTTTATTACAGGAGATGCTGGGAGTCCATCCCAGTGCCCAGGGTGGGCCAGGGGTTTCCAGGAGGGGTGTAGGGAGGGGGCTCCAGGCAGGATCTCTTCCAGGCCACTGGCTTAGTAGGAACAGATGAAGGGCAGGCGACTTATACAACATTTTCGTCGCCAACGACCTCCTAGAAATAGAAAACACGGTGATGTCAGCTGCCAGCAGATTGTGGCCTGTGCCCCACTTGCCCTCCAATTGTCATGATATGTTTGCCACACACCCTGCCCCCCCCCACTAGCTTTGTGTTTGTTGAGTTTTCACCCCAGGAAGACAGGGTGCTGAGTGCTTCCTGGGGGCTCCTGGCTAATCCTCACAATGACTCCCAGAGGGAGGTGCTCTCATCATCCCCATTGCGCAGATGAGGAACCTGAGGCTCAGCGAAGAAATCACTGGCCTGAATGCCAGTGGGCAGGTGGCTGGGCTGAGATGGGAATTGAGGCAGCCTTTCTCCAGCATGTATGGCCTTAGCCACAGTCCTGAGTCCCTCACGTCTGACATTCAGCCATTCCTAATTCACACATCCCTCCCTCATCCTTCATCCACACATTTCATTCACCATGGCTATTCTCAATTGTCACATCAATAGCAGAGGGAGGAAAGGAGGCTCTAGGGCCCCAGCCGAGCTTCGACTGTGAGGATGGAGAGTCCTTATCCAGCCCTCACACAGGGCACCCCCTCACCCTACTTCACAGCCCTCCTCAAAGACAGGACGTTGGTTCTCCAGTTGTGGGGAAGTTGTGAGTTTGAGGAGATGTTGCTCAGGCAGCTCAAAGGGACAGTGTCTTAGAGTCCACCTTGCCGTCCCTTCCCTTTGCCCTGGTGCCCAGTCCCCCTCACCTCTGGTGCATAGGGTCACACAGCGGCCGCGCCCATGATGATGAGCCCAGTTACTAAAATTTACAGCACTCCCATCAATCCAGTGTAACCTTCTGTACTAGAACGAGAGAGGGGATAGGCTGGGTCAGAGGCTGAGGGCCAGGAAGACAGACATAACTAGAGTTTCCAGAAAATGCCCACTGACTGTCCCTTTCTGGGAACTTCCCACCCAGCTAGGAGCCAGATATCCTGGACACCCACCCCTGAGTGTTCGCAGGCAATGACAATGCAAGGCCAGTTGTCCCTCCCCATCTCACACAGCCAGGCTTCTCAAACTTTCTGTGAATACAAGTCTCCTGCAGACCTTTTTAAAATGGAGATGCTGATTCAGGGGGCTCAGATGGGGCCCAAGACTGTGAATTCCTAACAAGCTCTCAGGGGATGCTAATACTGCTTGGTCCATGGACCACATCTGAGTAGCAAACATAATAGCACTTATTCACCCACTATCCCAGAACCACTCTGAGAGAAGGACCCCATTTTAGACATGAGGAAGCCATTCAGGTTGTCAATGAGCAAGCTGGGTAAGGAAAGGATCTCCTGACTCCAGTGCTGAGCTGGTAACTGTTTTTCAACCAGCTCTGGGAGAAGGTGAGAAGACAGAGTGAGGGAAGAACCCTGATTTGTAACAATCACCAATTTCCTTGGGGTAAATACACCTGCCATGGCATGAAGTCACTGAACATGGAATGGGAAGAGATGCGCACAATCACCAGTTCTCTTTAGCCACACCAGCCAGCTCCCCTACCGCCTCCCACAGGGAAGTCACTTGGCTGCTGGAATGAGGCCTGATGCCAGAGAGAACTTCCTGTACCTGGGAGCTGGCCCCTCACTTACCCAGAAACTCATTTTGCCTCCAATCCAGACCTGTTGCTGGTTGATCTTACTGGCCAAGCACTGGAGTTGATAGTTGACACTGCGGTTGTGGATAGACACGAGGTTGCCTCTGTAGCACCTCCTGCAGACTTTCTGCAGAGAGAAGAGGTGGGGTAGATAATTCACTGGGTTTTTTCCCCCCTCAAGCTCCTGAGACTTCAAGAGAGAACTCTCCATCCCTTGTCAGGTCAGAAATCAGGGATCTACTTGCTCCTCCAATTCCATCTCTGGCTCCTTCATCTGTCATGGGGAACTTCTTGCAGGAAATAATAATAATGCTGAGAATAATCTTAGCCACCATTTACTGGGAGTTTATAATGACTCAAGGACTGATCCAAATGCTTTTTGTGTATTATCTCATTTAATCCTCACCACAACATAAGAGGTTGGTACTATATATCTCCATTGTACAAGTGAAGATCCTGAAGCTCTGAAAGATGAAGGGACTTGCCCAGGTAACATGTCAATGACAGGTGGAGCCAGGGTTTAACACAGGTATATCTAATACCAAAGCCTTTTGTCCCAATCAGTGATTCTCAAAGTACTGCCTCTAGACCAACAGTGTCATCATCACCTGGCACTTGGTCCTAAATGCAAACTCTTGGGCCCCACCTGCTAACCCTGAAATCTATGCTTCAACAAGACCTCTAGGAGATTCTGCTGCTCACTAGCGTTTGAGAACCACTAGTGTAAATGAATAGGGAACAGGAGGTGGAATCCACATCTTCTCCTGCCCCTGGTCCTCCTTCATCAGTAGCCTCCCAGCCACCACTTACCCGAGCGCCTCTAAATGTTCTGCGGGTCCGCACCAACACGTAGCGGCAGGTCTTGCATCCAGGACTGCCCAGCATTTCCACTGTGTCCTCTGCCCTGGGGCACTGCAAGTTCTCATCTAGGGCACCTGGGTCCGACTCCATGGCCTCTTCATCCTCAAAGGCATCTTGGCAGCTGGAAGCCTCCACCTGCTCTCCTTCAGACTGAATCGTCTCCTCAGTCAGGACTGACTCTCCCTCCTGCTCCCCAGAGCCTTCCAGATCTTGGCTCAGGTCTGCCTGTGACTCTTGGCTGTCAGGATAGGGGGCATCATTCCCTGGAAGAACAGGTAACCTGCCATCATGTCAGGGGTCCCCTTCTTCTAGGACCACGGACAGCTCCGACCGCCCCACTCAAGCCTTCCTAGTGCCTCCTTCTGGAGCCTAGGCCTAAGGATCTCCTCCCTGTGGGGTGAGCACCTGGTACTGGCTGACAGGTGTGTATTTCGGGGTAGGAAGAAGCACCTCTGAGAAGATGGGTGGTTTTTGCTTGAGCAGGAGCCACGACAGAATGTTCAGGTCACATTTCTGAGTCCATGAAAGATCTTACCTGAGGGGAGCTGGGTCCACTGAAGAAGGAAAAGCTGTGGCCTAGCTCAGAAGAAGCCAAGAAGTTGCCAGAAAGAGGAGAAGGGGTCAAGCTGGATGAGAAGGGAAGGGAGGATTTACCCTGATGAAGAGCAGCAACTGTCCCCAGCAGGAGGAGCAGCAGGAGCAGGGGAAGTTTCATATTCACTCGTTCTTGTGGCAGGGACACGGCTTCACTTCCCGCCGTGGGTCTGCTCACTGTGTCTGCACGGCCTCTGTCACACAACAGAGATGCAATGTTTGTTTAAGTAGCTGATTAAAGGCAAACTGGAGGGCTTCCTTCTCCCCCAGTGAACAGATGCTGATCTGGAGAAGCAGAAAAAGTCCCTTTTACCCATGGGCTTTATCACTGGCCCCTGAGATGACACTTAGCCCAGACCCTTTCCCTGCTCAAGGTCAGGGCCCGCTCCACTACACTGAGGACGGAGTGCAAGGACAGTGGCCATCAAGGTCCTAAGGACAGGCCTCCTAGGCTCCCTGGGCAGCTGGGGGAGCACTCACCTCTGAAGTGTCAGAGACCTCCACTCTTGCTGTCTCAGACTGCTGGGTCCCAGAGACAGTCCTTATATTGGGCTTTTGGGGAAGTGGGAAGAGGCTTGGATGATTGCCCGAGGCTGGGGTGCTGGGCAGGGGAGCTGATAATAAGGCATTTGTTCAATTCTCTCAACTGCTCCCTGCTGGGACTGCAGGGACCTGCCTCCTGGGGTCCACTGACACACATGGGTGTCCAGGTGTGCTGGAGAAGACCCCAGATGTCTACTGTCCACATATACTTACTATTAGCACCCCTAAAGTGCCCCAGTCATAACCCCACGAGCAGCCTTCCTCTGGTCATTATCTCGGCCAATGAGGGGGAGGATCCTACAATGCTGGGGGACCATGAGGGGAGGAGGGAGAAGGCAAAGGGAGTCCCACCATCCTGAGTGCTTGTCTACCAGGGACTCATATGTATCCTATCCCAGAATCCTCACCTTCTCCTCATTCCCATGAGAATGTATGATGACCCTGACTTCACATGTATGGAAAATGAGATTCAGAGAGGAAAAGTGCCTTGCAAGTGTGCACAGGAAGTGGGGGATCTGGGAATCCTAGTCCTTTTGGCTCCCAAACCTTCCATCTATCATCTATCTATCTCTTTCTCTCTTTCCCTCCCTCCTCTTTTTTTGTTCTCACTCTAGTTCTCCCTCTTTCTATTTTTTCATCTTTAATGTGTGAAAAACTTATGCTCTTTCTTCTATGCTATAGATCTAGATCAAGGTTCTCAACCTTTTCACTCTTACTATTTGGAGTAAAGTAATTCTTTGTTGTGTGTTGGTGGGGGAAGGGTGGACTTAGAAGTTTAGCAGCATCCCTGGTCTCTACACACTAGATGTCAGGAGTACCTCCCCCATCATCTGATTGTCCCACAAAGACTATCAAAAACATCTCCACATATTTCCAAATGTCCTCTGGGGAGCAAAGTTGCCTCCATTGAGGATCACTGATCTAGAAAATTTAGTCCAACCTCAAGGCATATCTTCAGGCAAAGAGGCGACAGCTGCAATGGAAAGCTTCATGTAGTAGAATCTTTCAGACACCATGGGGGCCACCCTCCCCACCCCCATCCTCATCTCCACCAGCCCTCTGTCACCACCAGGGTCAGGACTAGGGGGCACTGAGTGAGGCACTCATCTCAGGTGCAAAATTTAAGGAGGCACTAAAGAATTCAGTAGTCAAGATAAATAATGCTTTCATGCAATCTTCCTTGGAAATAGAAATAAAAGCAAAAAAATCTGTGTTTAGTAAAATATCAAAACTTTAATCAACCCAGCTCCAGGCACATTCACTGCCGTCCAAAGAGAGGCCAACAAGTGCCGAGCTCTGGCCATGCTGGATATCCCTGCCGGGAGCTAGTGGCCTTGGCAGGGTGGGTGACCCACTCTGTGACATTCCCGCTGGGCAGTCATATCTCTTCCTCAGACCCCAGCCCAGTGTTCCAGGCCTCTGGGCACCAGGGACAGGAAGCCCAGAGGGTGGAAAGGCCTTCCCTGCCTCTGCTGCCCCAGGGGACCTACAAATGGAGAAGTATCTGAGAGGTCACTTCTGGGCCTGATTGCAGGGTAACAGTCTTGGCTGTTATCTCTCTGGCCCAACGGACCAGATCCTCAGCTTATCTACCGAGATGAGGTGGTGTTGGTGGGGCGATTGATCAATTCTGGGGCCCAAAATCCTGGTCTTGGATTTAAATTTTGAATCCACCCTAGAGGTGGGGGGAGAGGTTAGGGCTTGACCCCTCCCCAGCATTCTCCTCCCTCTGGGGCCCAGGCCAGGGGCATCTTATCACTCACTGGTTGGAATGCTCAGCTGCTCTCAAGAGCAGGCCTCACGATGAGCTATACACACACATCCTTTGAACAGCCCTGTCTTACAGATGTGGAAATGGCACCTCAGAGAGTTTGAACAAGTTGCCTAAGATCACACAGCAAGTCAAAGACAGGCCTAAGGGCAGGTCTTCCAGCTCCTTGTTCCCCCATGGCTGCCTGCCCTCTGCCTCCTCTCACTCACCTCCCTTCTCTACAGCCTACCCCCCGCCTCCACCCTGTCTTCTTGGCACTCAAACCCCAAGCAAAGACATTCCAATGGCTTCAGTGACCACCGTAATGTCTAATTTAAAACTGGAAATGTGATTTTTGAAGGCCCACCACAGACCAAACACTTTGCTACATGAAGGCTCTGACATCCATCACTCCACTTAATCTTTATAATCATCCTACAAAATAGATATTGCCGTCTCTAGTCTACACACCTAATACAGAAGCTCAGAGAGGTTCAATGACCTGCCCACTTTCATACAACTAGAAAGGAGTGGCATGTCTGACTCCTAGGAACTTGCTTCTTTGATACCCCCACACAGTCGGCATTACTCCCAGACAGTCCATCCAATGCTGCCAACGTCTTCAGCATCCGTGAAACTCCAACTATCTGACTAATGACAGAATCTACCTCTAATGAGATCAGTTCCAGTAATGCTATCAGGAGAGTGCCTGACACCTGGGGCTGTCCGGAAGCCAAGACTGGAACTGGGACCCGAGTTCACAGATAAACACTGTCTGGATTGCTTATCTCCTGCTCTGTGTTGGTGCCGTGGATGGAACCCCAGGGGTTCCTTAGCATCACAGAGCTTAGCTAGCACCTTGTTGGAAATGGGAAAGCCCATATTTTGGATGTAAGGCCAGTCCTCTTATTTTATTACTTTTACTTTTCTTTTTTTAATCCCCACCTGAGGATATTTTCCCATTGATTTTTGGAGAGAGTGGAAGAGCGAGGGAAAGACAGAGAAATATCGATGTGAGAGAAACAGATCCATTGGTTTCCTTCCGCATGTGGCCTGGGCCCTGGTCAGGGCCGGGGAGGAGCCTGCAACCAAGGTAGGTGCCTTTAACTGGAATCAAAGCCGGGACTCTTCAGTCAGCAGGCGGACACTGTATCCACTGAGCCAAACTGGCTAGGGCTAATTTTACAGTTTTAAAACTTTACTTGTGGATGTATAATAGGCATCTGGTAAAGTAGATGAGCTGCTTGGGAATTTTTACAGAATGAGTGCATCCACATAACCATGCCCAGATCAAGGTACGGAATGTTACCAGGAGCCCAGATGCCTTCTTCCTGCCCCACTTTTGACATTAATACCCCAAGGGGATCCTTACAGACTGGACACCACACTTCTGTCACAACACCCCACTCCGACCCCCCAACAGAAGGTTTATGAGGAACAAGGCAACGTTCACCACCACTTAGTGCGGAGCCTGACACCTGGTAAATGCTTAATAAACGGGAGTTTTTCTTGATTTTTATTAGGAATATTTGAATAAAGGGAAGCAATATCTTCCCACACCAGAATATGAAGTCCTCGAGGGCAAGATGGCAGCAGAACTTCAGCCGCGCCCTGCCCAGCACCCAGCCCAGGGCTGAGCCCCACACAGGTTTCAGAACCCCAGCTTCGGTTTGATTTCTATCTCTTTCTCAACTTACTGTGCAACCTTGAGCAAGTAGCTTCTCCGATATGGGCCACAATAAAAAAAAGTAAAGTTCTTCATTGGCCTCTCTAAGACCCTGGTCCCATCTCTAATCTTCTGAATTTGAGGAGTCTCAGAGGAAAAGGGCTTCGGGCATTGACTTTCTGCTCACCTCCCCAGTGCAGAGAGGGTCCGGGACGCCTGCCTTCCTCCCCTGCGATTGGGAATCCCTCATCTCCAACTGGGCTGGAGTCCTGTGGCCCAAGATGTACCCAAGGGTAATGGAGTTTCCCCTCTGTGCTCCATCCCCACGCGATCATGTCCCGGAGGCAGCCAAGGCTTCCACCAGGGAACCCTCACGGTTAAAGGAGCATGCTCCGGAATCCGTAGGTGAGTGAGTGATGGAAGAAAGCAATCCTGGTTTAAGATTGCCACAGAGTGGGCCGAGCAGATGCGCCCTGCAATGAGATCTCAGGCAGGAATGTTAATGACAACCACAGCAGCAGCCAGTGTTCAGGAAGCACTTTCTGCGTGCTAAGTGTTCCTGGGGCTCCATATCATTTAATCTTCTCAACAACGCTAAGGCAAGTACCACTGTCATCCGTGAATTACAAAAAGAATGGGGCTCAGACTGGTGAAGGTACTTGCCAGGTAAGTGTCTAAGACAGGATGTGAGTGGAGAGCCTGCCTTCTTACCCTCCACACCACACTCCCCAGGGAGGTGAATAAATGGCACAGAGCACCCACGGGGACCCTGGAAGTTAGTGGGACAGGTGATGACACGGGAAGCATGGAGAACATGCTTCTTGGAATTAAAAGGACCCTGGCTAGGCAGGCACCTCACCTCCCAGGCTCTATTTGCCCGTCTGTGAGTTTAGTTAAAGATGACAACCTCAGGGGGTTTGGGGAGGATGCACTGGGAAGCTGGTTGTGCAGTGATCTACGAAGTGCCTGACACGTGGTGGGTCCTCAACAGACTCTCTGAATATTATCCCCGTTGTAGAAAGAGAGGCTCGGAAAGGTTAAGTGATGCTCCAGATTTCACGTACTAGTAAATGGTGGAGCTTGAAAAGGCATCCATCATCCACGGGAAGAGATTCTGAGCATATTCTACGTACACATCACTACACGGGGCAATTCACAGCCCCCACAAGAGGATGCGTGGTCTCTGCCGTTGGACTGTCCGAGTCACGAGTACCTGGAATTACGTCTGCACCTCCCTGCCTTGGAAGTTCAGCAACGAGATTGGAGGTTCGATCTATGGGAAGAGCCCAGGCATAGGGCTCGCACAGACACAGCAGGGAGGTTTGTGTCTGCCCCGTGAGGGCCCATGGATTTCAGCTGACTCGCTGAGTCCCATTTGGCAGAGGCAGGAGGAAGTGAATGGGAAAGGCGGGAGGCCATGGTTATTTGTGGACTGGACTTTCAGGCTTGTTGGTCTCAGCACCAGGCTAGCCACACACACCATCTCTAGGCAGCTCCGCCAGACCACCAGAAGACTCCCCAAGATGACTGAGGGGGCCTAGGGGAGGGGCCGGGTGGCTCAGGGTCTTCCTCCTTGATAGGCCATTCTCTCTTGGCCAGGTGTAGGGGGACAGCATTCTGACTCAAACCGTCCATCCTTCCATCTCTTCCCCAACAGGACACCCCAGAAATACCCAACCTTCTGCAACACCTCCTGGTGCAAGTCACCCTGCAGTCTCTGCAAGCCAGTCCCTGGGAGGGGGGGACCAGAGATCTCAGGGTGATGGGGAGTTAAAGAGGCTCCTTCTCTTCCTCCCTTTATTTTCTGTTTTCCTTTCTTTCTCTCTTTCTTTCTGCCTCTCTTTCTTCCTCCTTAGAAGATTTCCCATTATAAACAGTACAAGAGAATCTGTGTCGCTTTGTTAGGCAGAAACAAGCTGGGCAAATGCTCACAGGGTGGTTTCATCCTGAACCAAGGCATTCCTCCGGGGGTGAAATGCAGGCACACCTCGCTCTGCTCTCCCCCACCCCCCTGCAGTCGCAGCTGTTACTAACAACATCTGGAGCACGCACACCTGCTGCCGGCCCGGTGGGATGTGTGCCAGGTTTGAAGTGCCTCCGGTTCATGAACTCACCCAATCCTTGCAGCTCCATGATGTGTTCCTATTGCTATTCCCATTTTGCAGGTGAAGAAGCGGAGGCACCTCGACCCCAGAGCCTGTGTGGGGAAGAGCTGGGAGCTGGTCTTGGACAGTCCAATGGCAGAGACCAAGCTCCTCTAGCTTCTGTTCCCAAAGGTTCTCTCTAGCCTGCTCCACAAGCCCCATTACAGGCAAGGAAACCGAGGCTGCTCAGAATCAAAGTTTTCATCAAGGTCACTCAACTGGTCGGAGCCTTTCCCAGTCCTCGTTCAGGCCTGGGAGGTAACACTGGTCGCAGAAAACTCACCGCTGAGGGGCCTTGGAGCAGACATTTGCAGTTAGAAAATAAATAATCCAACTCCCGGGTGTCAGGGCCCACGGGACCACCCTGCCTGCCAGTGACTCAGCTCTTCTGTGGGCAGTGACCTGGGGACTCCTGGCCCAGAAGCCACAGACATGTCCCACCTGGGGACTCCCCATGGACGAGCCAAGGACCATAGCCTGTGCCTAGAGCTGGAGGGAAGGGTCCTTCCCTGTTGCACCCGGGACACACCCAACACATTTAGAGGCATCTACCCCTGAGGGCTGGCAGAAGGGACTTCGGAACAACCACTGGAGTCCTTGCCCCAAGCTTCAAATTTGGGGACAAGGGTGCAAAGCCCCTGGGAAGCCAGCAGCCAACACCTTTGGCTAAAGAGTAGATTCACAAACAATGATTAATGGCTACGTTGTCATTCCCTAGAAACTTCTAAAGTGCCTCTTTGGCAACAGCGGGCCCCCTGGATCCTATTGTCACTTATATTCTCCCATCTGCTGACCTCGGCTGTTCCCACAACTCCTGTCATCTGGGACCCCTGCTCAGGCAGCAGAGAGGGGACAGCAAGAGAGTGGGGGCACAGTGTCCCAAGATGCATATGAAGGGGACCTCAGAGCGGGTAAGTGGGGGATAAACGAAGTGTGATGTGGCCATGGGATGGGGTTGTAATCAGTCGTTTGCCACCACGGGTTTGAGGACTCTTTGATGACATAGAAAAGCCTATGGGATCCTCTCCATTGGCGCGCGCACTGGCATGACTCTGCAGGACACATGCCAGCGTGTGCACCACTCTCGTTTCAGAGCCACGGAACTTGTTTTTCATGCAGTTCTTTATGTTCTGCTCTGTTTTACAACCACCATGTGTATCTTACATAAGAATGGATGTAAAGAAAAGGGGACGACGGCTAAAACGAACGTGACCTTAGGAGTCAGACAAATCTGAGTTTAAATACCAGCTGCACAACGCGATGGTCAGATGACCTTGGACAAAATGTGCCATCCAGAGCCTGACTTTCCTCATCTGCAAACTGGTGCTGATGATAGAGATGGTCACACAAAGTCCCTCACTCGTGTTGTCAGCGGCCCTTTCATTTTTTAATATTTTTAATTGATTTTTGGAAAGAGAGGAAGGGAGAGGGAGAGAGAGAGAGAAACATGGATGTGAGAGAGAAACATCAATCGACTGTCTCCTGCATGCACCCCAACCTGAGATGGAGCCTGCCACCTGGACATGTGCCCTGATCAGGGATCAAACCAACGGCCTTTCAGTGCAAGGGATGATATTCAACCAACTGAGCCACACCAGCCCAGACTCAGCTGTCCTTTAAATGGCAGGTGCTCTCCAACTCATGAAGTATCCTCTGCTCCCAGAGAAGGCCCACCCCACCTGGCAGGCGGCCTTGGAGGGGACAGATTTGCTCCATTCTCTCTGCTGAGGCTGGTAGCGGAGAGGAGGGTTGGGCTGGGGTCCTGTTGCTGAGTGAAATGAAAACTTGTGAAACTCATGGGTTGCCTTCTTCCTCCTTTGAAAGAGCAGTTGGTCCCATTTGAGGAAGAGGTTACAGGAGGCAGGCTCTCAGGACAAAAATAGGCTGTGCATGTGGCTGCTTCTCTCACTTACTCATCTTGCCCAGAAATCATCTCTGACTCTCTCTGAATATGTGTTCTTTGTGCTTCCTGAGGAATCCAGGCACTATATATATATATATATTGCATCTCTATTGAGATATAACGCACATATCACACAATTCACCCACTTAAAGGGTTTAATTCAATAGTTTTCAGTATATTTCAGAATTGTACAATCACTATCAATTTTAGAAAATTTTCATCACCCTATAGAGGAGCCCCTTCCCCATTAGCTGCCATCACCTGCTCCCCCAGCCCCGGGCAATGCCTACTCTACTTTCTGCCCCTAGAGATGTGCCTTTTCTGGACATTTCACAGCCAAATGAATCATAGACTATGTGGTCTCTCTTGACTGGCTTCTTCCACTTGGCATAGAGTTTTCAAGGCTGATCCGTGTCATAGCTCGTATCAGTACCCCATTCCTGTGTGTTGCTGCATAATGTTCCATTGTATGGCTCTGCCACATTTTGTTTCTCCACTCACCACCTGGTGGACATTCAGCATCCTTTTGGAATTTAATACATTAACTGTAATGATAGCTGTGATCTGTTGAATACCTACTATGTGTGGGCACTTGACCCAATTCTAATCCTTACAACAGTCCAGGAAGGCAGGAGTACTTCTCCCATCATGCTGATAAATGAGCTGAGATGTAGAGGTGAAATGGCCCATCCAAGGTCACACTAGTGACAGAGCTGGGATGACAAAAGAGTTGGCTTGGCCCCTCCACATCCTCCCACTGCACCTCGCTGCCCTGCCACCCCGGCTGCTCTGCTCTCTCCTTCCAGTTGGCTCTGAGGACAGAACAAGGAAGAATCCACTCACCTAGCGATTATTATTCAACAAGCTCTAACTGGCACCACACAGGTGGCAAGCACACATTAGTCACTGAGCAGGTGAGACCCAGATGCCGCCTCCTGGCGCTGGCTGTCCAGGTGAGGTGAGGTTGTCATTTGAGGAGCCAGATGCTTGTCACCAGAAAGGGTGTGACCAAGTGCCAGGAACTCAGGGCTGCTAAGAGCCCAAGGAAAGTCTTTAGAGGAGATGGCATTTTGAACAGGACCCCCGAGGACCAGGCAGGTTTCCCTGGCAGAGATGGGGCGAGCCCCGAGTGCAGAGGAAGTGGGCCTTCACAGACCCTGAGACCAGGAACCTGGGTCCATGGGGATGAGTTCTGTGTCCTTGGAGGTGGAAGGTGAAGAGGGCAGGGGAGAGGAAGAGGTTGGCATCACATTGCTAAGAGCCTTGAATGCAAGGCAGGAATCTAGACTTTTTATGTGGGCAGCAGGGAGCCTTCCTGAAAACAAAAACAGAAACTTTCTGAGCAAGATTAGGTGAAAGATATCGTTAGGGCTCTGGTGTCGGTCTCCAGACCCAGGCTCCTGGACCCCTGGAAATTACCCTTCAGCAGTTCAGAGAAGAGCTGGCTTCAGACCCTGTGCATCTCATTCCCAGCAGCTACGACCATGCCTGACCCGTTCATTGTAGGGGCTCAATAAACATTTGTTGAATGAATGATAATGAATGGTGTCGGTCTCCAGACTCAGGCTCCTGGACCCCTGGAAATTACCCTTCAGCAGTTCAGAGAAGAGCTGGCTTCAGACCCTGTGCATCTCATATTCCCAGCAGCTAGGACCATGCCTGACCCGTTCATTGTAGGGGCTCACTAAACATTTGTTGAATGAATGATAATGAATAAATGAATGAATGAATGAATGCCAGCCCCCTCTCCTTCACTGTCCTCCCCCAGCTAAGTGGAATGGAACATCTAATGTATCACAGATCTCCCATCTCCCTCCGGGCCCCTCAACTTCTCCCTCCTTGCTACCCTCTCCTCTCTGGCCATGGGCAAATAAAGGAAAAAACACTCAAGTGTCCCTGCCATGTGCTAAGCAGTAGCAATTACTTTAAATTCTCACCATCGCCCTCAGGATAGAAATGACTAACTGCACTTCACAGGTGAGGAAATTGTGATTCAGAATGGTGCAGGGACTTGCCCCGAAGCTGAGTGGCAGCCTGAGACCCACATGGGGACCTTCTGACTCACCTAGTGTTCCCACTTGAGTGGGGGGGAGTGTTGAGGTGGAGGTGAGGTGGGAAGAAGAGGAGACAAAGGAAGAGATTCCTTGGGGCAGGAGGGTCTCAAGCCCTCATCCCAGAACCAGGTGGGTGGATCCCAGTCTCAGGGCTTCTGTTCCACCTGTGGGTCCAGCGGCCACACCAGGATGCTGCAGTCAGATTCCTCCACCTCCACTTGGGCGCTCACTGCCCCAGGCTGGGGCACCGGGTAGGAATACACACCCATGCCCACACACGCGCACGCGCACACACACACCCATAGCCCCAAAGCCTGGAGAAGCGGAGCAATAGTTGCCTTAGGCAGAAATGCTTTATTTATCTCAAAATTATCCCCCAGAGGAAATTTTTGTTTAACACTCTAAGTTTAAGTAATCATGCCCCTTCTTGAAGATGAAAACATGCCTAAAAGGCTTCGTTGGAAATCCTTCGGTCAAGCAGGCCAGCTGGTTCCCAAGGCTCCTTGGGTGGCCTGACTCCATCACTGTTCTTAAAGCCTTCAGGAACTTCAGGAAGAACCTCCAACTCCAGAACCCTCTCATTTTACAGATGGGAAGATTGACGCTTAGACCAGACAAGCGTCTGCCTCAGGTCCTCCAGCATCAGTGGCAGAGCTGGGACTTAGGTCCAGGGACCCCACCCCCACCCTGTCTGCCCCTCTTCCTCTCCACGGCTCACTGCCATCCTACCACCAAGGCTGTGCCTGTGAGGGGGAGCTGGGCGCCACCTCTAGACACCAGACAGCGTAGCTGAGGCATGACGACCTGACTTGGCTCTTCACCTGGAAATCCACCTGACAGCACAGAGCCCAGGCACATCCGGGCCTCAGGGCCAACCATCACATCACCTCCCCTGGGCCAAGTCTGCCGAAGCCCTGGGCTTCCTGCCCTGGACCAAAGAGAACCTCCCCGTGCCTTTGCCTCGGGTCTACATGATGTCAATCAGCCTGGCAACTGAGATTCTTTTCCTGCTGATCAAAAGTCTTAACTGGCAGTTAAATACATCTTCTTTTTTTAAAAAGATAAAGACATGCTACTTGCCCAGCCGGCATGGCTCAATGGTTGAGCATCGACCTATGAACCAGGAGGTCATGGTTTGATTCCCGGTCAGGGCACATGCCTGGGTTGTGGGCTTGATCCCCAGTGTGGGGTGTGCAGGATGCAGCCGATCAATGAATCTCTGTCATCGTTGATGTTTCTATCTCTCTCCCTCTTTCTTCCTCTCTCTGAAGTCAATAAAAATATATTTAAATAATAATAATAATGGCTACTTAATACAAGTAGCCAGGGTGGGCAAAGTCTTTCTGGACACGGGTGCTCCAAGAAAGATAAACAACAGCATCTGAGGTCTAAAAAGTAGCTGCAGGGGCGGTTGCTTTCTGCCGGCACTCGAGGTACATCAGGACGGGGTGGGCGAAGGTCAGGAGAGTGACCAGCACCAGCATCACGTTCACCTGGAGTGGGAGGGGCAGAGTGAGGCGGAGCCCAGGACTCTGAGCAGCACCCACCACCAGCAAAGGGACCAGAATTCTGCCTGGTTCCTCTTCCACTGTCCACTCAGACACCATGGTGCCTCAAGGAAAGACTAGCGGGTGCTTTTCATTCTGCCCTGTGGAGTGGGCTGGGCAAAGGATCTTATGCCCATTTCACAGGTGAAGAAACAGAGGCCTCCAGAGCAGCCAGTGACCTGCGCAAGGTCACGTGGGAAGTGGGTGGAGGCCCCAGCTAAGCACACCTCTCCTGACTATTAAGTGAGGGTCGTCCAATGTCAATCTAGCAATTCTCCTCAGTTGTAGGTTCAGTCCTTTCTTTTTCTCCCAACAACTGACTGGAACTCTCGTTCTACACTTTGCTGACCTTTTAAATGCGGCTGACAGAGCTGTGCGGTTTTCAGGGCACTCTCAGGTTTGGGGGTGCCCCCTGCTGGGGTCCCACAGAGTTGCCCCAGGCTGAAAATCCTTGCTGGTCAAAGGCCAGGACCCCTGCTGTCCCCAGGGTACTCACATAGAATGGGTCGTTCTGGAGGGGGCCTTTGATGAGCATGAAGATGGGGAACTGCAGCAGAGACACAATGGCTGACAGGGCCATCACCAGCCCAAAGAGCTTCCCAAAGTGCTCCGAAGGGAAGCTGGGGAGACACAAGGGGGTTCCAGTGAGCTTCGGGGTACCTCCCCCCAGTAGGGGCCTGGCCTCTGTGGGCCTTTGTCAGCCACTTGCTCCCGACTCCCCCGTCCTAGGCTTGCCTTCACCCACCCACCCCCACGCAGCCCTTCCCCCTCTGCCGTGGCTCAGCCTTTCAAACCACAGAACACAGAGAAGGCATTGTGCCGGGCCCTGGGAAACCAGCAGGGACCCAGTCACAGGCTGTGCCCCGGGGAGGCCTCAAGGAAAGGACAGACACATCAATAGATCACTCTATGCCAGACGATGCATGCACTGAGGAAGCAAGACTAGGTTGGGTGCCAAGGGCACAAAGAAAGAAACTTTCTTTCCTGGGAGAGTTGGAACAGAGGGCCCTGCCTGGTGAATAGGAGTTCACTGGATAGATAACAGAGGCAGAGGGGAGAGCTGATGTGAAGGCTCCCGCCAGCTCCCACCTCCAGGCATCACCCCCTCCACCTGCTTCCAGACCGTCTCCCTCACCTGACCACCGCCAGGCCCATCCTCACCTCCTAATTTCTTACCTCCAGCACACTTCTTTTTGCCTCAGTGTGTCCCCCTTATGTAACGCACCCCAAGCCCACTTACGCAAGGGTGAGGAAGGCAGCGTTGCCCCCGTAGAGGAAGGAGCGGCTGATCACTTGCAGGACGAAGGTGCCATACTGGAGGGGGAGGACAGGGACCGAGGCACAGATGGCAAAGCCCAGGCACAGCAAAGACGTCAGGGCCAGCGAAGGCACCGCTGCGGAAAGGGCTGCGACTGAGGCTGAAGAACCTGGTTCAAAGGGGGAGAGGAGAGGCTGCCTGGAGGGGGCACCATGGAGGGCAGGGAGGGGGCGAGAAGATGGGGAGAAAAGGAGGAGCCACCATGCACCCAACCATCCAGGCCGAAGCCTGGGGTCATTCTTGAATCCTCCTTCTCCCACATGCCCCATCTCCAATCCATCGTCAATGTTGATAATCACCACTTAAATATCATTCAGATGTACCCACTCCTCTCCGTCCCCACTGGCGCTCTCTGGTCATAGGCCACCATCAACTCACTCATAGATTCTTACAATGGCCTCTGACTGGGCCCCGAATCAGCTCTGGCCCCCTCCAACCCAAAGCCAGTTTTTCTCAGTAGCACTACAGGTGATGGCCAAAGACTGGACGCCATCCAAATAGCCACCAAGAGGGGAATGCCACATCGACTCCGCTGCAGCCACACCGGAGAACCAGGCAGCAGCCCAAGGGATGAGGGCAGATCCCTGTGGAACGGGACAGGGGTGAGGAAAGAGTGAAGAAACCAAATGGAGTCACTGTGGTCAAGCTGACAAAAACCACCCTCTAAAACCGAGAGGATTACGTCTACCGGTCACAGGTACTGGATTGGTAAAGTTTCCACTGGCCAAAGAAGGGACAATTCAGGCATCCAGAAGAATGCTGATAGAAATACATTCAAATATATTTAAAATGAAACTCGTAAAGACAAACAACGGGTAGTCACCCTAGAGGTTGCTAAGGCAACGTCATTATTATGAAATGCAAACAGAGGAACAACCAAGCATTTATTTCAGAATAACAAACAGATCATAAATAAGGAAAAATTCCTCTTTCCAGGGGAATTCTAGCTATTAAAAGCGGGAGGGAAGCCAGAAATAGAAAATCGCCATTTTGTAACCCTAATACAATAATGGGTCCAGGCATTGATCCTCAATGGCGGCTAAAATCATTAGGCAGGCAGCTGATGGGAAACGTTCTAATGTGCCATCAGACGGACATTGTCTGAACCCACTGATCAATCCTAACATCATAAAGCAGGGACAACGGTACCAGGGGCCCACTGCTCTCCAGCGCTGAATCATTCTCACCCAAAAATATTACACCAAGTCTTCTCAGCCTCCAATCTGCCTGTTTACAAGAAATACCCAATCAAAGAGACATTTTTTTTCAGTGACAGGAAAAGGATGCCAAATCCAAAATTGGGAGATTTGACAGGCCAAATGACCCGGTTTCTTCAACAAATAAACAACAAGGTGGGGGAAAGTAAGAGCAGGGCACAGATTTTTAAAGACAGAAAAGGAACATCAAACAAAAATACACTGTGTGGGTAATATTATTATACTTAAAACCCGTTTATTCTTGAAATATTAATGTTTATTGCATGTAACATTATTATATGTAAGATTATTTTTCTTGAATAAACAAATACACTTTGTGGACCCTAATTTGAACAAACCAACTATAAAAAGACCTATTTGAAACAACTGGGAAAATCTGAACAGAACTGCTTATTAGATGATAGTAAGAAACTACTGGGTGTTTTAGGGGTGATAATGATATTATGGGGATGTGTGAGTAAGAGAGACCTCGTTTGTTAGCAATATGAACTGAAGTGTTTACAGATGAAATGATTTGATGTCTGAAACTTGCTTTCACAGACTCCATCCAGCTGGGGTAGGAGAGAGGCAGTGCCAGGAAGTGGGGGAGGGGTATAGAACAGTTACTCTACTTTAGTCTCTCCCCACCCGCAACCTCCACGGGTTAATATACCTCAGTGCTCCTCTCTTCCTCCAACACATCCAAGGATCCTGTGCAAGCTCCTTGGTTGGTGTTCTGCCTGCCCCTTCTTACTTTTCTCCCTCCAGCCTTTTCCCATCACTCTCCAGCACTCTGTGCCCTGGCAAGTCTGAATCACTTTCTGGAATTCCCCAGATTCTTCAATGTTTTGCTCTCTCCTTCACCATCTTAACCCCACTACATTCTTGGGCCACTTCCAGGACCCTCCTCTTCACTCCTCACTTCTTACTCATCCTTCAGGTCCCGGCTCAGATGCCACTTCCTCCAGGAAGCCTTCCCTGACACCAACCCCATCCTCTCCTGGACCAGGTTATGTGCCCTTCTTTGGGTCCCCATAGCCCCCTGTAGGTTTACTTCATGGACTGCAATGACTGACACTTGCCTTTCTCCAACCTCTAGACTGAGTACAGCTTGACAACAAGGTCGTATCTGCCTCGTCCATTGTTGCACCTGGAACTGTGGCTGGCACATCATTGGCACTCAATGACTAGTGGGTGAGTGGATGGATGGATGGATTCAAGTACAAAAAGATTAAGAACAAAGAGAAGATGGGCATGGAGGTCAATGAAGACCTCTCCCCTCCTGCTCCTTGATCCTCGGGAGCCCAGTTCTCACCTGTCTTTCTCGCTTCCTTTTGGTACTTCTGCTTAAGCCGGTCCATGAGCAGGCCGTTCCAGGGGGCACACAGCATTCCAAAGAACTGAGTGATGGCAAAGGCATTTGTGTAGCTGCTGACTGCAGAGGACAGAGGGGGGTTGGGTGGTAAGAAATTTCCAGAACTTTCTTACAGGGAGGACTCTTCTCCCCCTGCCCTTACCCAGCCTGATCCTCCTCCCCATACCCCTGCTCAGATCTCCCTCTGGAGCACACAGCCCCGCTGAGCTTAGCACCCCACACCCTCGAGGTTCCAAGTCCCCAGCGGGATATGCAGTGGGCTGCCTCCCAGCCCTGCCACATACCCAGAGCCCTGTCCCCACTGGCCAAGTTGGTCAGCAGAGAGTTGAGGGTGCCGATGAAGAGGTAGTGCCACAACTGTATCACAGACAGCCACACCAGGTGCCCAGCAAAGCGCCGGGAGAAAACAGAGCTCTTGAAAGAACGGGGTTCGTCCAGCTGCCCTGGTCCTGGGATCTCTGTCGGGAAAAGAGGGTCTGGCATGAATTACAAGGCAAGTGGAAGGCTGGGATGGCCAAGAATGGAGAGGCCCTATTGGGACAGCCTGAGGTCCAAGTTTGCCTTCTCTTCTGGCCTTCTAGAACTCATCCGGCGAGCAGCCCCAGCTGCCTGCCACTCACACAACCCCACCTCTAAGCCTTTGTCATCGGCTCTACCACCTTGAATGACCCTCTCTTGTTCTCTGTCTGTTGAAATCTCATCTGTCTTTCATAGCTTGGATTCAACACCACTTTTTGCACTGACACTTTATATCAATCTTTCTCAGCCAGGGTGGTGAACAGAAAGACAGGGAGAGGAGAATGGTAGAGATGAGCAGAGGGTTAGTGATAGACAGCTGCTGTTTTGCCTGTTCCCCATCCCCCGCCCCCCTTTTGTTTGGTCCCAGGATCCAGGTTTCTTCTGGAAATCTCTCCTGCCCTGTTCTTCGTGATCTGATGGGACCGTGAGTCCTGTGTTCTGTGCCTCACCCAAGGTGAACCAATCGATCATTCTTCCTGGAGAAGCAGACGGGCTGTGAGGTTGGACTAGGACCCCTGGTTCTGCTCTTCCTGGAGCCTAGCAAGTTCATTTCCCCTTGATTTTGTGAGCTTCCCAGAATCCTATTCTTGTTTCTACCTTAGCCAGCAGTGGTTGGTGATGTTTATACCAAAGACCCAAAACAGACAGAGGAGGGAAAGGAGGCGGCAATGGAGATGGGACAGTGAGAGAGGGCAGACCCAGGGGATCTGCAGAAATGGAGACAAATAAGCCAACTTGGGACTAAGAAGTTAGGGGGAAGGATGGCAATGACCAAAGACTGACTTCAGGGGAGAAAGGGAGATGAGGAGATGAGAAAAGAGGAACAGAAAACGGAGAAGAAACAAAAGTCTTGCCTCTCTCTGGACTCTCTGGATCCTAAGGTCCTTCTCCACCTGCCTTTCCTGACTCTGAGCCCTGGGGGAGGAGCTCTGGAGGTGAGGGGCCAGGTCAACTGCAGGGAAAGGCAGGCTCTGAAGTGGAAATGGCTTACCCAGCAGGGCTCACCTTCCTTTGGTGGCAGGAACTCCTTAGCCTGTAGGTCCAGCTCTTTGGACTTGGCTGTCTCCTTCTTCTCTCTGGGGCCAGTCCCAGAGCACAGGCTGTGGAAACAGAAGCCCCACCAGCCCAACAACTGTGAGCAGAGCCTGGGGTTCAGGCTGGAGGACACAGTGGAGTGGATCTCCAATGTCACTGCACATTGGAATCACCTTTCACCAACCCCGATGCCCACGTCGCAGCCCAGGCCAGTGAAATCAGAACGCCTGGGCATGGAAGCCAGGCTTCCATATTTTTCAAAGATCTCCAAGTGATCCCAGTGATTCTCATGTGCAGCAAAGTCTGGGAAGTGTGGGGAGAGTAAAACAGGCCTGGGTTCAAATCCCAGCTCTGCTCTTCCTAGCTGGCAATATGGCGCGTACTTAACCCTTCTGAGCTTCCATTTCCCCATTTGGAAAATGGAGAAGAGGATATATAACTGATAGGGTGTTTGAGAGTAAAACAGGCCTGGGTTCAAATCCCAGCTCTGCCTCTTCCTAGCTGGCAACATGGCTCATACTTAACCCTTCTGAGCTTCCATTTTCCCATTTGGAAAATGGAGAAGAGGCTATATAACTGATAGGATGTTCGAGAGACCAAGTCAGAGAGCACAAGCGTCTGCAAACAGTAAGTGAGCGGCAAACGCGTGCCCTCCCTCTGCTGTTGGTGGTGATGGACTACAAACAGTCGCATTTTCCTTCACCTCCTCTGTTCCCCACCCTGTGCAATGGGACTGCAGCTCCAACTGTTCCCCACCCCTTGAGCCAGCCTTGGGCCAGCCTTGTCAGCAGCGTCAGCCAAGAAGACGAAGCAGACACAATGTTGTACCAATTCCAACTCTCAACTTTAGGAAACCTCTCTTGAACCCTGGAACCACCATGCGAACAAGCCCAAGCTAGCCTGCTGGAGGATGAGAGCCAGGTGACCCAGACCTCCCTGTCACCGTAAATGACCGCCATCCAGACCAGCCAGCCCCGGCTAGTCTACTGATCAGATGAACTAGCCAACTACCCACAGACTTATGAAAAAGAATAAATGCTTAATGTTTTAAACCACTGAGTTTTGGGGTTGTTTGTTATGCAGCAATAGCTAACCAATACACCCCTGTTCTAGTCTTCCTCTTCTGTGACAGGTTTCCTCTGCTCTACTATCACCATGTCTGTCCCACCCACTGCTTCCTACCTCAGGTCACCTGAGGGGCTCTGGCCAGCAATCACCAGATCAACAGTCCTTACCCATAGCTGTAGTTGGGGGGCAGTGGGTAGGGGATGTGCCCCCGGGGCATCAGGAGGAAAGTACGCCCAACATGCCACACACTGCAGACAGAGAGGAAGATGAAGGAGGCCCTGAGGCTGATGCCGTTTTCATAAAGGAGCTGCAGAAAAAAAGGAGGAAAAACTTAGTGTAACACCCATGTTCACAGCAACAGTTTTCATAACATCCGAAAGATGGAAGCACCCAAGTGTCCATCCACAAATGAATGGATAAATAAACTGTGGTTATACATACAATGGAATATTATTCAGCCTTAAAAAGAAAGAAAATTCTGCCACATGCTAAAACATGGATGAACCCTAAGGACACTATGCTAAGCGAAATAAGCTAGTCACAAAAGGACAAATACTATGTGATTCCACTTATATAAGGTACTTGGAGTAGACAAATTCACAGGAATAGAAAACAGAATGGTGGTTGCCAGGAGCTGGTGGAGGGGGAGCAGGGAATTATTGTTTAATGGGTACAGAGTTTCAGTTTTACAAGGTTGAAAAGAGTTCTGGGGATGGATAGTGGTGATGGTTGTACAACAATATGAGATAACTTAATGCCACTGAACAGAATACTTAAAAATGGCTAAGATGGTAAATTTTATGTTATACATATTTTGTCATACAAAAAAAATGTCAGTGTAAGAAGCAAGGGCAGTCCTGCTGGTGTGGCTTGGTGGTTGAACATTGACCTATGAACCAGGAGGTCACAGTTTGATTCCCGGTCAGGGCACATGCCCGGGTTGCAGGCTGGATCCCCTGTAGGGGGCGTGCAGAAGGCAGTCAATCAATGTGCTCTCATCATTGATGTTTCTATCTCTCTCTCCCTCTTCCTTCCTCTTGGAAATCAATAAAAATATATTTTAAAAAGAGAAGAAGAAGCAAGGGCAGGGACCCCCATTTCCAAGAATAAGCCTTCTTGCCCTCCATCCTGGAAGCTGACCAAGGGGACCTGGTACACACATAGCCTCACCCTCACCCTGAGGCTCAACCAGCAGCAGGGGAAGCAACATGCCACCATTCCCACAGCCTTGTAGAGCCTCCAAGTGTAGCTTCTTGGGGGCCTTCTAACCCAGGGCTTTTTTTTTTAATAGCAACAAAGTCTTTTTTGTCCAAACGAAAATTATACATAAAAATTCAACTCATGAAACACATCAGTAGAGAGCGTCCCAATCATTCTTCCCTCATTCTCCTTAGTGAACGGCATAACATCAAAGGGAACCCTTCAATATTCCTCAACACTTAGTTTAAAGACCATTAATCTAGCCCAACTCCCTCATTTTACAGAGGGTAAAAGTGACATCCAGAGAGGAGCAATGAGTTGCTCAAGGTCAGAGTAAGCAGCAGCAAGGTCAGAGTGTACTAAGAACTCCAGCTCTTGCTCTGGCCCTTTCTCTTCTTCCAACTCTAAGGAGGGAGGAGGGGAAGGGAGGCACATCCAGGGGAAGGAGGGTCAACCCAGAAAGTGGCTCTTATACCAGAGGTAGGAAGGCTTGAGTAAGTACCCTAGAGGCTCAGTCTTTAGGTACCTTTCAAGCCAAGGTGCTCATGGGACTAAGCTAGTCTCATGTCTGGGCGGTGACTCCCAGAGATCCTCCTAATCTTCCCCCATGGCCTGCAGGCTTTGCCTCTAGCCTAACACAAAGCCCAAAGGGAAGTCCCAGGTTTGGCAGGTTGGGGTGTCAAAGACTCACATTCTCATTCTTTCCACTCACTCTTAGTGTACTAACTTTTGTCCTGCAGCTAGTTTCCTCATAATCACAGCATGGCTGCCATGATTCCAGCTATCACATCCACATACAAAGAGGAAGGGTGGGAAGGGGACCAAGGAGAAAGGCTTTCTTTTCGCTCTGCTCTCACCTTCCATCAGAGAGGGAAGTATCCCCTTCATCTCATTAACTAAGACCACCTCTTCCCCCACTAACGGCGGGGGGCGGGGAGGGATTGTCAGTGATCTATCCCCTTCATCTCATTAACTAAGACCACCTCTTCCCTCACTAATGGGGGGAAGGGATTGTCAGTGATTTAGATCAATCAAGATTCATCCCCTGGGCTTGGCACTTCGCTGCCCAGATGAAATCATTAGTGCAGTGAAGAAGGTGGAATGGCTATTGGATGGGCCACAAATAGCCTGGTGACAACCCATCCTCCTGAACCCCAGCATTAGCCTTTAGGAGAGCTGGAGAGGCCTCTGTGCCTGCTCCTGCAGTCCCTTCTAGCCACCTCCCACCTCCTTGTCCAAACAAGAGGCTCACAGGTGCAAACATCCCATTGCAAAGGGATCCCACCCTATGCCCAACACTGACCCAAGCACATCATAGCCATGCCTTCCCTTAGCTTCTGCCCAAAATCCTATGTTAAGTTTTAAAAAGGGGGCTGAAGGGTTACAAGCTCAGGCTCCAGAACCAGAAAGGCCTGTTGTCAAGCTCAAATGTCACATCTCAAGCTGCAGAAGGGATGATGGAGAGAAATCATGCAAAGTGTACTAGATAGATGTCCGGCATATGTAAGTGTTCAATAAAGCTTGGCTGGTGCTAATTTTTACCTTAATGATGAGAAAGACAGCCGAAGAAGAGTCAAATGCTCCATTGTAGAGGGTGATGATGGTCGAGCGGTGTTTGCCAAATAAGTTCCCAACCTGGAGAACATATGACCAGCCTGAGTCACCTACGTATTCATGGAAGCAATGTGTGCCCAGCCTGTGCCAGGCCATCATTATACCCCAGACCACCTTCCACCCAGCAGCCACCACCCTGGCATGGGCCAGCCCCCTGTTGAGGCAGCTGATGTGGAAAAGTGTTTCGATGCCCTCATCCCTCCCCAGCCTCCTGCCAGGTGCCCGGGATGTGGGCAGGATTCCACCTGCAGGTTGGTCATCAGAAACAGGATTCCCCCGACGGAAAGCATGGGCATGGCCAGGAAGAGCAGCATCGCTGAGCCTGAAACAATCGAAGACAGAGATGGGTGGGTTCACAGTGTGGCTCAAACACAGAGCCTCAAACTGGCTCCCACTTGCTTCAAATTCCCGACAGCCCTGGAGGCAAGGCCCCAATTCGACCCAGCCTTCTAGAAATTAGGGTCTTAGGATACTGGTCTGGTGGGGACAGAGGGACCCTGCAGAGGTCTCCTGAATCACCTTAGTCCCCACCAAAGAGGGTCATTGGTCTGTGGCAGGATCCCTAAAAACATAGGAGGACTCAAAGTGAAGCCACTGCTCCCTGCCCGCACTGATCCAGAGCAACCCTCCACTCATCCCTGATACTGTGGGGTGAAGCCTGGACTCCCCAAGCCCAGCCCCTCATTCACGGCATGACTTTGAGCGGGATTCTAAATCTATGGCTCAGTCACCTGCTCCTCCTGCCTCATGGGGCGCTGTAAGATCTCAGTGAGAAAATGGCTATGAGCTGTCCTTCCTTCGTTCATTCAACTTTGAGCACTTCCTTCAAGCCAGGCATTGTGCTCAGCACTGGAAATGCAAGCTAAGTAAAGAATACTTCTTGCCCTTGAAAAGACTGACATGCAAAAAAAGAAAAAGTCATGACAGTAGGTCTGGAAAGTGTTGGACAACAGCAAAACAACTAAAATGCCGAGGGGGAAGGGTGGCTTAATAATTAGTCTTTCCCAAACCACGAACTTCTGCCCACCTTCATGATTTTGGGCCATAACCCATGCCTGTCCTAGTGTGACAGGATAGTAAGAAGCTAGGAACATTCCTGGGCAAGTGGAATGGGGAAACTGAGAAAAGAAAATTAAACAAGGCCAACCAGTTTGGGCAGCTTGCAGCCAGCTAGTGAATTGCAAGACTTGATCTTCCTTAATCAAGGACACTTAAAAACAAATGGTTTCTACCTCTCCTCCCTGACAGAGAATAAATAGCTTAAATCACCCTGGTCAGGGAGATAGAGAACAGAGTCCCAACTAATGCCAGCCAAACCCAAGGACAGATGAAGTCAGGGGAACAAATAACAAAAACTCGACTAGGGCCAGACAGGCTCAAGATAAAAGCAAAACAGTCAAGCTGACCAAAGAATAATCCCACACTCCCCTACATGCTCATTTTGATGCATCAGCATATTTAAAATGCACATGGAAAGCTGATGAATATTCTGCTGAAAGCCTCCCCTACGATTCTTGCCTGCAGGAGATAAAAACCCTCAAGACAAAGGATGCCAGCGCGGGATCTCCCAGCAGCATGCCCTTGCCTTATCCCAGGCATGAGCTTTTGTAGTTTCTTTCTCCTAAACTCTAAGGGTCCCCACAAGACTGCAACTAGGGGAGCAGTGGGCAACAGCAGCTCATCCCAGGCTCACCCCCTGAACCCATCTCCAAGGCCCCCTTTCTCTGACTTTTCAGTGAGCTGACAGCAGCCGGCCTTGATTCACTTCTTTCCTAAAACGCTTCTAGTGAGCAAAGCAGAGTCCCACCTAGGCTCTCTCCTGTGGCTTCTTCTACCTTAACCCCTTCCTTGTTTCACTGTCCCCAGCTTGAATAAAAGTACTCTCAAAGTCACCTGGACTCAAGTTGTGAAAGCTTCCCTGCATGAAGTCAAGAACCCACACACTACCAGCTGGCCCGAGGCAGACCCACTGTGGGCCAGGTCCCTTCCAGTAACACTAGTATTTGCTAACATGTTTTCTTTAAGTTGACTCACTTTTTTAAAAAATATGTTTTTTTTATTGATTTCAGAGAGAGGAAGGAAGAGGGAGAGAGGAAGAGAAACATTGATCAGCTGCCTCCTGCACCCCCCTACTGGGGATCGAGCCGGCAACCAGGGTATGTGCCCTGGCCTCTCGGTACATGGGGCCACATTCAGCCAACTGAGCCACACCAGTCAGGCTTGATTCACTTTTATACAGAAGAAATCTATTATTTTTAAGGGAAATTTCACATCACTGCTGTAAATGAAAAGCAACCTGTGTTGCTTGTCATGAATATCAAGTAACTTCGAAAACAAATACAATGAAAGGAAAACAATATTATTAAATTGTAACCGGATGCATTTGCCCACGGAATGCTCACAGCCTGGAACCTGCTCCTGCCATCCCCACCTCAACACCTCCATGCATGAACTCAGAGGACTGAGAGAGAAAGAAAAGGGAACAACTTTTCCACCAGGTGGGTGACCCACTCAGTGTTTGTTAATGTAGCAGGTGTGTGTTTCCTAATATCCGCTGAAGTAATTAACGATTGTTCTACACCTTAGGGAGCAGGTAAAGTGCCCACGGCTGTGTTCACCCTGTCTACCTTTCCATTTCTTTCTTTAGAAAAGGTATGGGTCTCCTAAGGCATGAAAGGTTGGTTGCAATTAGTCTCACAATAGGGTGGGTGTGGTCCTGACATTTCCCCAAAAACAAAAAGCTCTATTGAAGCATAGTAATCTCCCCCTTGTATAAAAACTGCTGTTTGAAATTCTCTGCTATTGTTAGATAGTCCCTTGTTCTGTAAACTCTGTCATTTTTAGGCAGTCTCTTATTCTGTAGAATAACTGTTTTAGTTTGAATAATAGAAAAAGATAAAAACTTAACTGTCTGACCTTGCAAGCTAACCATCTAACGTAATGGACTAATACTGATAATAATTCCCATATTCTTATGCCAGATGTTTGTTCTTTATGTATCCAAGATCACAAACTGTCTGCAACAATAACCCACACAAAGCCCTTCGTAAAATCTGCAAAGAGCCCGAAAGGTATAAATACAGGAAACTTCCCTGTGTCTTCGCTCAGAGATTTGGAAGAAACACCTCCCTCTGGGCCACGCGCAATAAAGGACTCCTAATTAATTGGCTCATTAAGGCATCTTGTATCTCACTGGCTGATTTACGATACAACACTATGTTATGGAGAAAGGAGGAATTGTTCCTCCAGTGATTCACAAATGAGTCACACATCCCAGCCACTTGAAAATCCTTTCCGAGCTTTTAGGAAAGAAGCTGGTGTGATGAGGAGAGTGGTTTTAAATAACAGGTGCCAGGCTATGAGATCTGTTTGGACAAAGATAACCAGCCTGTGAGAACTGGGCACAGATGGAGATGATCCCGCGTCACCCTCTGGCTTCAGCACAGGTGCTACATACGCACGAGTCATGTGCTGTTACTAACCCCAAAACTGAGCCACATGATCTGACAATGGGGAGTAATGTCGGAAGGCATCACCTAGCCCAGCGGTTCTCAACCTGTGGGTCGCGACCCCTTTGGCGGTCGAACAACCCTTTCACAGGGGTCGCCTAAGACCATCCTGCATATCAGATATTTACATTACGATTCATAACAGTAGCAACATTACAGTTATGAAGTAGCAACGAAAATAATTTTATGGTTGGGTCACAACATGAGGAACTGTATTTAAAGGGCCAGAAGGTTGAGAACCACTGTCCTAGCCAGTCAGAGAGAGGTCTCTCTCTCTGGCTTCAGTTTTCTCTGCTACATAATGGGGAAGGGGTTAATGAACCAGCGTGAAATTCCAGACTTGGGACATTTTCTATGTTTGTAAACCAGTAAAATTTGAGAAGACAACTTTTGACTACCAAAGGGTGGTCCACTTTTACCCTGCTAAGTAAGGCTATTTTCTTTTTTTCTCTTTTTTTAATATATATTTTATTGATTTTTTTTTTTTTTTACAGAGAGGAAGGGAGAGGGCTAGAGAGTTAGAAACATCAATGAGAGAGAAACATCCATCAGCTGCCTCCTGCACACCCCCCACTGGGGATGTGCCCGCAACCAAGGTACACGCCGTTGACCGGAATTGAACCTGGGACCCTTCAGTTCGCAGGCCGACGCTCTATCCACTGAGCCAAACCGGTTAGGGCAGTAAGGCTATTTTCAAAAGCAACTGCCATTCATGTTATTATTTCATTTTTAAAAGAGACAGAGCATTTTAACACATACCAGAGGAAGGATGTAATCTCTTGAATAAACGCTACTGTCTGAAGCGATGCCTCTATTGTCCTTACTTTTCAAATTTCTCAGTAGACTAAACTGTTTCCATAGACCAGCAGTAATTCTTTCAAGCTCCCAGTCTGTGGATCTTTGCATAACCGTGGGGGTCAGTGTGTCCTGCCATCACCTTCTGCACCTGCCCCATCCACCAGGTGCCCCTGAGGTGTCCCTCCCTCCACCTGACCGCACTCACCTGCAGAGATGAAGGCTATGATGAGCGTGGCACTAGTGTAGAGAAATCTGAAATACACAATGGCAGATGGAGAGTGTTGTCATGAAAAGAGAAACCTAAACGGGCAGGGCAGATGACGACCCTCCAGGCCAGTCCCTTGGAGAAAGAGGTCAGTGCCTGGTCTCCAAATCAGAACCTTGAGCCCTGATTCCTCTTGGCTGTGTAACCATGGGACAGGCACTGCCCTTCTCTGAGCCTCAGTAACCTTTTCTATGAAAGGAAATGTCTGGACCGACCTAGACCCCAAGATGAAAGTGCTGGGGTACTATAATTCAAGTCCACAATCCCAAGGTCATGGGGATCTCTTAGCAGTTTGGGGGTCTTGAAAGCATGGGGTAATAAAAGTAGTGCCTAAGTATGATTTATAATGAGAAATGTAAATTTGGTCTTTGTCCTCGGCCCCTGACACAGGGCTCCTAACACCCTTTTAAATTCCCAAGTGATAAGAGCTGTAGGAGTATCTTTCCTTCTGATGAGGCAACTCTGGGTGGGCTCCTGGATAGGGCTGCTCACCAGAAAGACTAAGCCATGAGGTGACGCTTGGTATTTTCAGCCCCTGCCCCCCTCCCCCAACTTCTCTAGAGCGGGAAGGGGGGGGGCGTGGGGGGAGGTGTTGAAAGCAGAGTTAATAACTGACCATGCCTATTGAGGAGCCTCCATAGAATCCCAATAGCAAGGGGTTCGGAGAGCTCCCAGGTGGATGAACACATCCACATGCCAGGAGGGTGACGCACCCCAATTCCACGGGGACAGAAGCTCCTGTGCTCGGGACCCTCCCAGACCTCACCCAATGCGTCCCTTCATCTGTCTGTCTGTATCCTTGATCCTCCTCTTTAATGAACCAGTAAAGCCCAGCTGGTGTGGCTCAGTGGTTGAGTGTCGACCTAGGAACCAGGAGGTTCCTAATCAGGGCACATGCCCAGGCTGTGGGCTTGATCCCCAGTGTGGGTTGTGCAGGAGGCAGCCAATCAATGGTTCTCTCTCATCGTTGATGTTTCTATCTCTCTCTCCCTCTCCCTTCCTCTCTGAAGTCAATATATATATATACTTTAAATGAACAGGTAAATATAAGCCAGTGCTTCCTTGAGTTCTGTAAGATGTTCCAGAAAATAATTAAGTCCAAGAGGTGGGGGTAGGAGTCATGGAACCTCTAATTTGTAGCCAAATCTGACCGAAGTTGTGAGTAACCTGGGGAACTTACCACTGTGGTTGGCATCTAATGTGGGGGGCAGTCTCGTGGGATCTGATGCTATCTCCAGGTAGAGGATGTCAGAATCAAGTTACACTGAAGGACACCAGCTGGTGTCCAGAATTGCTCAGTGTGGGAAAACTCCACACACACTTAGTGACCAGAGTGTCAGAAGGGAAGTGTTCTGAGTGGAAGTAAGGAGAAAGGAGAGAGGTAGGTTTTTCCGATACAGTTGGTGTCGGTGAGGTGGGATTGGCCAGAGTGATCCTGGCTCACAGAAACAAGTGGTTTGTGAAAAGAAAGGATGAAGGGTGTGGGGTGAAGAACCTCTGATTCCTGGGTGACCACATTGCCGGAAGCCAGTTCCGGCACATCAACAGGGCTGAATCTTCTGGAGTGGCAAGGATATTTCCCCAAACCTGAAAAGGATGATTGCTTACTGCCAGACAGCTAAGGGCATCTTAATTTACATGTTATTGCTTCCTACTGGCCAAACACCTAAACGGCCATAGGCAAATTCTTCCAATCTGACAATGGATTCTGTACCTAACCCTACCCTTTGAAGTGTATATCTCCACCTTGCCTTAGGACAATTTGTGTTAATAAATAGCAAGGGGTCCTGAGACAAGGAGAACTTAGTTCCTTTAGCTGAGTCTTCTCTGACTCCCTAATGCCTTTCAAAATTATGATTCGTCTCTGGACTCTTATTTAATTTACGCACAGCCCTTCTCCAGATTTCTGAACGCTTCGTGATGCCAGATCAAGACCACAGGCATTACCACATGGTCCCCCATGGTGTGGACCAGCAGCGGTGCAACAATAAGTTACCGAAGGTAAAATTACCAACAGAATTTAGAGATGAGTCCAACTGTCTGGGAATTGGTTCACTGGATGCATAAGAAAATGCAAACTAATAAGGAAAAGGTGAAACACATAATCTCTTGGTCACTGTTAGCTATAATAGCTCAAGTGAAATTAAAAGAGAGTGCTGGGTCAGACCTTGAGGCTGGGCCAAGTTCAGAGCTGGGTCAGTCTGAGCCGCAGCCGCTAGCCTCAAAGCCACCCGCCAAGGGAAAAATTATGCAGGGACAATAGAAAGCACCTCTAAGACCTCCGGGCACCACGAAGGCCGTCAGTGCGAGAGGAGAGCAAAACCAAGATACCATTGAAACCAGGGGCACAGCGTGAAGGAGGCATTTCACTTCATGGATCGGTGTCATCAGCTTCCCCGGGAAGCTTTACTGAAATGGATTGTGAGGGTAACTAACTTGGGGCTGTGTCTTTGGTTCTGAATGCTGCGGTGGAAGAGCATGTCGGGGCGGAGACAGGACCCACAGCTCACCATGGAACAATCGCAGATGGCTGTATGTGATCCAGACACAAGGAGGCTGCTCCTGAGGGAGGGGCCAGCCTGGTGCACTTGATAAAAGCCACTGTACAGCCTGGCCGTGTCCCCTATCTGTGCCCAGTGGAGCACCCCAGATGAGGCAGCTGCTATGCTTTGTATGCAAACCACCTGGGAGTGACTCTAATGAGGACCAGGACGGGGACCCAATGATATGCCTGTTACCCAGGTCATGCTGAACACTGTGGTTAAGGGGGCCCTTTCTCATGGGCACCCCACATAACCTAATACTGCAAAACCGAAAAACAGTTCAGGAAGCCTTATTGAGTCTGGTGTCTCTGCTTCCCCTCCAGCCTCTTACAGATGTTAATAACTGCATTAGGTTCATTAACAAGAGAATGGGGGAAGGCAGAGGAGAGAATCCAGGGACTGGTTTTAGCAGGGTAGAAATTTTCTTTTTTTTTTTTTTTAATCCTCACCCCAGGATATTTTTTTAATTGATTTTAGAGAGAGAAGGAAAAAGAGAGAGAAACATTGATGTGAGAGAGACACATCGATCAATTGCCTCCTGTATGTGCCCCAATGGGGGATCGAACCCGCAACCTAGGTATGTGCCCCGATCGGAATCAAGTCGAAATTCTTGGTGCATGGGACAATGTTCCAACCAACTAAGCCACCAACCAGAGCAGCAGGGTAGAAATTCTAAATGGTTAAGGAATAGGTGATTAAAGCAAATAGTACTGTGTTTTCACCATCAAATTTAGGATTATGGCCTTTCCTTCCTGCCTTTGTATGAGGCCAAAGAGATACTAGCTCCTTTGACAACCTTAAAAGTGGACTCCAGGAATGTCACGAACACACTGACCTTTGCAACCAAACCCAATGTCACTGGGCACAAAGGCTGCGGCTTTTGGCCATCTGCCACCAGCCAGGGCCTGACACACTTCGGGTGGTAGAATGGAGCTGCCACCCCTACTTTTCCCAAAACAACCCCCTTAGCATCCAAAAGAGCAGGCCTTCAGGCTGGGCCCAAATGGGTTTTCTGGTTCTGTTCATCACGCCACCACCCCGCTGACCTCAGCCTCCTGGCCCAAAGAAACCTGACACTTGCCCATCTTACCAGCACCATGGGCCTTAAACCAGAGGTTTTGATACAGCACTACCAAAGGCTGGCTGGGCCAAGAGGACCCCCTGCAGGTCCCCCAGCCATTAAGTGGCCCCAAACAAGTCCCGTCTTTTATCCCAGGTTAGAAAACGTTGGAAGCCAGAAACAGAGATGACAATGAGAAACCTAGGCAGCAGTCGCTTGTGGCAGATTCATCAAGTTAAAGATTGACAACAGGGTCAGAGTCGCTTGACCCCTTGCGGGGGACCCAAAGCCTCCTACACAGGAGTGGGTAAATACTGGGGTGAAAAAGAGAAGTACCAAAACCCACTGGTGAAGCTCTGATGAGGGTGACAATTTTTGTAAGAGAACATGAAAATGTAAGAGTTGATAAGACTGTGGAAGTGGGACTGTTTAAACAGGTTTTATGAGAAGAGCTGTGTTCCCTTTGCGTAGTGTTTTATGAGAGTGGCTAATACGTCAATCCTGGGGAACACAGCCATGTGGAGCTAGACCAAGGAGATGGCAAAGGTCTGTGTGCACCTCCCAGTGACAATTACGGGACTTTGAACTAGAGAACTTTCACCTGAGGGGCATTTATTATCTTGTTATTAGACATTAATTGGAGCTACATGGATGACTAAAGAATACAAAATGATCTTAAAACCTGCAATACCACAATGTCTAGCTCGATGTTGTAGAAACGCCCCAACGCGGGTGGCAGAGCCCAGGAGAGTTCCCTAATGGAATGGTTTATACGAGATCACACATTGCCTGGGAGTCAAGGAGGAGATACTGCCAAGCGGGAGCCTCTCTCCCCCTAGGTCTGAGCCCAGGCCTGTGTGAGGGGCTGCTGGAGTCTCCTGTCACTTGGACACTGTCTTACACAGGACGCTTAACTGATCACCAGGGAGCTGCCTGGCTTGTGGATGGCAGTTCCATGGTGAGTGGACAACATCCTGTTTGTGAGGCCACCACTCTGATCAAAGAAGGTAGAAACCGATCAGCTCTGTGGCTGAGCTGCAGGCTGTTTTCCTAGCAAAGACGGAAGAACCCAACAATGGAAAGGGGCCCTGTGTTTGGGTTTTTACTGACTCATGGGTAGTGGCAATGACCTGGCCACATGGTCAGGCAGAGGGCAGTGGAAGCTTAGCCTATTAAAGGGATGCCTGTATGGAGTGTAGCCCTGTGGAAATCACTGTCCATCCAAAGAGCCCCTTGCCAGGTTCAGAGAATGACTGAAATCAGCAAGCCTATGTCCCTATGTCAGGGGTGGGCAAACTTTTTGACTCGAGGGCCACAATGGGTTCTTAAACTGGACCGGAGGGCCAGAACAAAAGCATGGATGGAGTGTTTGTGTGAACTAATATAAATTCAAAGTAAACATCATTACATAACAGGGTACGGTCTTTTTTTTTTTTAGTTTTATTCATTTCAAACGGGCCGGATCCGGCCCGAGGGCCATAGTTTGCCCACGGCTGCCCTATGTGCTCCTTCCAGGTGGCCACCTGGGTCCATAACACGAGGGGACCTGGGGCTGCTGCAGCAATGCACAGATGGGCTGGACCTAGACATTGCCCTCTTGCAACCTCTGAGGCACAAAAGTCCAGTAAGAGCTGTTCTGCCTGCCAGCAAAAGACACCAAGATTGCAGATGGCCTTGTGGCAGATCCCCTGGGGGGAAGGCCCTGAACAGAGCTGGCAAGAGAAACTGGTGCTGGAAGCCCTGGGCACTACAAATGGTTCTGACAGGAATAGACGCTGACTCTGGACTGGGCTTTGCTGATCAGTGGTAGCTGCAAATACCCAGCGTGCTATAAAAGAACCAACGTTGTACCAACCTGGATGGCTGACCATCATTTCTTCAGGCCAAGGAGCACCCTTTACAGCCCATAATGTCTGACAATGGACAGAGATAGCCTCAGAGTACTAGTTTGATAGAGGATTAGGACACACTATTGAAACACTGGTTGTGGAAAATGGGGGGAAATGAGGCCATGAAGGGCTGGCTTACCCGCACTCACAAGTGTGTGCTCATACTCAGCAGATCCCCTATTTTTCTAGCGGGTCTGGAGAAGAGGACATAGGGAAGGAAAGTTGCTGGTATTCTTTCTGCCTCACATCGACTCAGCTGTGCTCCCCGCTGGGCACAGGACCACTACAAGGAATGGAAGCGGGCGGATTCCTACCCGAGAAACTATAATGTGTTTGACCTTTATGTTACAATTCCTAAGGCCTCCATGGGGCAGGTTGTGCCTTCAGTCCATCTGGCAAAACTCGGGGCCAACAGTGAATGCTGCTAGATTGCCCACCTGGTGGTAGAGACAGCCCGCTAGTTCTGCACCTGTGTAACCTGACCCCATCCGAACAGAAGTGGACAGAGGCGGGGGAGGGCACCTGCTAGACTAGTATTGCTGCCTGCAACCCAGACCAGCAGGGTGGAAACGGTTGGGCATCAGTGGAGGAAGAGTAGCTGAAGGTAAGGGAATGAGTAAGTGCATTATGCAGTGAGGGAGGTCCAATATCACATTATCACCTCAAAAGAGGCTCCGAGCAAGAGATGATACTGTCTCTTAGCTCAGTGACACCAGCTGCCTAAAAGGGTGAAACCAATAAATTGCTGACACCACTCCTGCTTTTGGAACTGGGCAAGATTATAAAGAAGCTGGCAGACCCGAGTAGCCCTGGAAGACATTCTCAGAGGATACGATGACGGACTAGTTATTAAGACTGAGTGGGATTAATAATGTGCTGTATTTTTTTAACTTTATGATTGCTTTGCTATAAGGAATCCGTGCTCCCACACCAGGGGATGATCTGTGGTACTATGATTTTATAATAAGAAATATATATTCGGTCTTTGTCCCCAGACCCTGACACAGGGCTCCTAAAACCCTTGTAAATTCCTAAGTGATGAGAGCACTAGAGGATCTTTTGTTCTGATGAGGCAACTCTGAGTGGGTTCCTGGATGGGGCTGCTCAGCAGAAAGACTAAGCCATGAGGTGAAGCTTGGAACTTTCAGCCCTGTCTCCCCCATACACTTGTCAAGAGGGGGGAGGGGCTAGAACTAGAGTTGATGATTGATCATGCCTCCTTGAGGAAGCCTCCATAGAACTCCAATAGTACGGGGTTCAGAGAGCTTCCAGGAGGGTAAAACACCTCAACTCCACGTGGATAGAAGCACCTGTGCTCGGGACCCTCCCGGCTTTACCTGCATGTTTTATGAAAATGACTAATATAGATCTATCTCTTCACCTGGCTGTTGATCTGTACCCTTTATCCTGTCTTTTTTTTTTTAATTGATTTTTTACAGAGAGGAAGGGAGAGAGACAGAGTGTCAGAAACATCGATGAGAGAGAAACATCGACCAGCTGCCTCCTGCACACCTCCCACTGGGGATGTGCCTGCAACCAAGGTACATGCCCTTGACCGGAATCGAACCTGGGACCTTTCAGTCCGCAGGCCAATCCTCTATCCACTGAGCCAAACCGGTCTTGGCCCTTTATCCTGTCTTTTAATCAACTGCTGAGCATAAGTGTTTCTCTGAATTCTGTAAGCTGTTCTATCAAATAATCAAACCCACAGGGGACGAGGTCATGGGAACCTCTGGTCAGTAGCCAAGTTGGACAGAAGTTGGGGGTTAACCTGGTGAAGGGAAGCAGAGTTTGCCACCCCAAAATATGCCTCTTTGGGACACTGGTTATTTTAAGCTAGTTCTTTGTAAGAAACAAAAAACTCAGAAAGAACCTTTGACCTTCCCCCTAACTGCCTAAAAAAATTAGAGGACGTGCTCCAGAATGGGAGGGATCACAGATAGCAGCAGTTTAATCTGAACCTAGCAAGGCTGCTTGATCAAAGTGCCCTCTGTGCCCCACGGTTAAAGATGGTCCAGCCAATGTTTGTTTACCAAAACTTTGCGTTTCCACCTCCATGTGAATTGCCTTCCTCCCCTCTGACGTCCCAAACCACTACCCCCCCCCCCCCCCCACCCCCCCCC